TGGGCTCGGCACTGCCCCATTCCCATCCCGGTGCCCATCCCCGTGCCCATCCCCATGCCCATCCCCATGCCCTATCCCTGTGCCCATGCCCTTACCCTCGGAGCGCATGGCGTGGCGCAGGCCGCGCGTGGTGGGCGCGATGGCGGCCGTGGGCTCGGCGCTGCCCCATTCCCATCCCGGTGCCCATCCCCATGCCCATTCCCATCCCGGTGCCCATCCCCATGCCCATCCCCGTGCCCATCCCAGTGCCCATCCCAGTGCCCTTACCCTCGGAGTGCATGGCGTGGCGCAGGCCGCGCATGGTGGGCGCGATGGCGGCTGTGTGCCAGCCCTGCCCCATCCCTGTGCCCATTCCCATCCCGGTGCCCATCCTGGTGCCCATCCCTGTGCCCATCCCCGTGCCCATCCCCATGCCCATCCCCATGCCCCATCCCCATGCCCATCCCTGTGCCCTTACCCTCGGAGCGCATGGCGTGGCGCAGGCCGCGCGTGGTGGGCGCGATGGCGGCCGTGAGCTCGGCACTGCCCCATTCCCATCCCGGTGCTCATCCCCATGCCCATTCCCATCCCTGTCCCATCCCGGTGCCCATGCCCATGCCCCATCCCCGTGCCCATCCCCGTGCCCATGCCCGTGCCCTTACCCTCGGAGCGCATGGCGTGGCGCAGGCCGCGCGTGGTGGGCGCGATGGCGGCCGTGGGCTCAGCACTGCCCGCCAGCCCCGCGGCGCGGAACAGCACCGAGAACTGCGCCGAGCACACGTAGAAATAGGGGCAGAGGCGCGCCCGCAGCAGCTGGTACAGCGAGGTGAAGCTCACCGACCTGCAGGGAACACACAGCGCTGGCACGGCTGGCAGGGCCCCTGCCCTGGAGAGGGAGTGGGGACAGGACAAGGGAATGGCTCCCACTGCCAGAGGGCAGGAATGGATGGGAGATTGGGAATTAGGAATTGTTATCTGGCAGGGTGGGCAGGGGCTGGCATGGAATTCCAGCCCTGGATCCCTGGCAGTGTCCCAGGCCATGTTGGACACTGGGGCCTGGAGCAGCCTGGGACAGTGGAAGGTGTCCCTGCCATGGCAGGGGTTGAAATTTGTTAATCCTCAAGCTCCCTTCCAACCCAAACCATGCCATGACTCTGTGATTAATTACAATCTCCTCGCTCACCCTCACCCAGCCCATCAGGCTGCACTCACCAGTCACTCATGAGCACTTGCTGCAGGGCCTCATCCTGTGCCCAAGGACAGGCCTTCCCAGCCATGCTCCTGTCTGCGCCGAGGCGGGGGAAGAGCGGCAGCCAGGGCAGCGAGGGGTGCAGCCAGTAGAGCAGGCTCTGCTGGAAGGCACAGCGCAGCTCCGTGCACAGCCGCGGCTCCTGCGGGGCCCAGAGCGAGTGAGGGGCACGGCAAAGCTGCGGCGAGCAGAGCTGCAGCCCCAGGCACCCGCCCGGCCCTCACCTGCACGCTCCGGGGCAGCGAGGCTTCCGCGGCCCTGCAGTGCTGAGCCACCCCCTGCGCCTCCTCCTGGCCTTTCAGGTGCTCGGCCCACGTGAAGGGCTGGGAGGACATGAAGAGAACCCGTGTTTTAATGCTCCAGTCTGCAGGGAACTCGTGGTGTGGCGAGGAGGGAGCTTTGGGTGCAGCAAGAGGGGAATGAAGGTCCTGAGCAAGCAGAAACAGCATCAGTTAACTCGCAGAAAATTAAACCTGTCCACAGGCTGACAGTTATTATTTTATATATATATATTATTATTATTATTACATCATATTCTGTTTTTTATTATATTCTATTATTTATTATATTCTATAATTTCTATATTCTTTTATACACTACTATTTTCATTCTTTTACTCAGCAACAGATTCAAACAAAAATACTCCATTCTATTGCCTATAAAACCACATGAGAGGGCTTCCACTCATGACTCAGTATAAACTAGGAACAAATAAAAAGATAAATTATTAAAACAAAAAAAGCCCTGAGCCTGGTGTTTATGAAGACAAGAATTTCCATGCCAAAATGGTTATTTCATTTCATCCTCTCCTGGTGACTGTAAGGTCACATGCTGAAAAAAGCCCTGGGCACCTCCAAGACAGTTTGTTCTCCTTTTTCTATCCTTCTAATTTAGTTTGAACTTCAGTTTCTGGACCTAGAACAACATTAGAGAATGTCTATTGAAACTCGGTTTGAATTTCAAGGGCTGGTTTTCAGGAATTCTTGCTTTCCTATGTGCTTGATGAAGTGCTCCATTTCTGTAGCTGAAAACCAGACTGCAAGAGGTCTATCTGGTGAAAAACATCCTCAACTACAGATAAAACTAGAAAGAAGTTAAGAAACAGTAAAATTATAGTCAGGAAAACTGAAAGACAACAATCTCTGTCCACGGAACTACAATACCAGTGAGGTCAGGCAGAAGGCTGGGTTTAAAAGACTGTCACCAGAACAGGAAACATCAATGTAAGAAATTTCCTTGAATACATTTCAGTACATTCTTTTATGCAAAGATGGGGCACCAAATACCAAGCGAAACAGTTTCAGCTTTCTGTGTGCCCTGAGAACAGCTGGAATCTTTTCAGCAGCGTGTGCAGTTTCATACCTGGCTTAGGGCGAGGATGTCAGAACTTTCAGCAGGCTCCACTCTCCCGGGAGGCTTCTCCTCACAGGCCGGCTCTAAAAACTGAATGAAAGAGCAGCATGAGGCACACAGCACAAAGGGACACGGGCTGATCATTTTAAAAACTGCCCTTGCGGTGACATTTCCCGAGTGATCCTCAGCACCCCGGGCTGCAAACAAACCCCGCTCGGGGTGAGCACAAGATCTGCACCCAGAGCTGAGCAACAGCCGAGCCCAGCAGGGCCTTGGAGGAGGCGGGGGCGAGCCCGGGGCTGCATCGGGAAGGGGCTGAGGGGCTTAGGGCCGTGGCTGAGGGTGATGGCTGAGGGCGCAGGGTGATGGCTGAGGGCGCAGGGCGATGCCTGAGGGCTGAGAGCGGAGGACCCCGCTGCCGGGGCTCGGTCCCACCTGCCAGAAGGGCACTGCCGATGGATCCCCGCCCGCGGGGGCCGCTGTCGGAGGCTGAGGGGCGGCCGCCGCCCGCCGCGGAGCGTTGTCCAGGCTGGAGAAGGGGTTGCGGCGGCGGGCGGCCGCAGAGCCCCGCGGGGCCGGGGCGGCGGCGGCTTCCGCGGTGGCGGCGGGGTCGCTCCTCCGCACAGGACGTTTGCGCTTCAGCCGCAGCAGCGCCGGCGGCTTCTTGAAGCCGGGCGAGTGCCCGGGCTCGGCAGGGGCGGCCATGGCCGAGCGGGGCCCGGAGGAGCCGCGCTCCGGTCTTGGCGCCAAAGAGCGCCTGCTCCGCCCCGGGGCGGTGCTGAGGGAGCGGCGCCGCCATTGCTGCCGCCCTCAGGGGCTCTGAGGGGAGCGCGGCTCCCGCCAGCCCCGCTCCGCCCGCACGGGCCACACAAACACGGAGCACAAAGACAGACGGCGCTGAAATTGTGTCCGTGCCCTGCCAAATGCACCCGGACAGCGGCCCCAGGGGCTGGGCTGGGCTGCGGCAGCATCGCCACACGGCTGCGCCCGGGCCAAATCCCCTGTGCTGATACCGGGGCCAGGGTGTGCGATGGGACACGAACCACACGGGGCTCAGCCTCTCTGGGAGAAAGGAACGAGTGTTTGAGGCTATTTGGGAGAAAACTGCTCTCGATGGCACCCGTCTGTTGTACATGGGGCTCAAAAGGTATAACAAATAGTAGAAAAGTATTAGAAATACATGTGGTTCAAAAGGCATAAAGAGGAGTCAGGAGCAACAATTTTACTGACAAGAGTTAATAAAAGAAAAACGATACTATTAAAAGATCTTTCGTCCGCAGTTTTGTCACTGCTTGTGCTTGGTTTTTTTTAACTTGTTAATATCTTACTTCATCTGCTTTCTTGTGGAAACATTGAAGCAAAACTGAGCAGCAGCAGGGAAACACCAGCAGCTGGCTCCAAGGCTGCAGAATGGCTGTGCAGCTCCCGCAGCACTGCCACGCTCCAGCCGTGCACAGAAGCCCCTCTCCTTTCCCAGGCTGCATGGCAGCACACCAGCAGTAAAATCAGAGTTCCTCCTGATGTCCTAGGCTTGCCCTGCACCACTGCTCCAGAGCCTCCTCCAAGTGTGCTGAGTGAGAGGAGACAGATCAAGCGTGCTTCTGGATCATCTGTTTGCTCTCCCATTTTCCCACTGACACAGCTTTGAAGTGGCCATGTCCATGGTTTGAGTGATTCACAGCGAAAATGAGCAACACGGCTGAAAGACAAAAAGTATTCTTGCTCTCGAATCAGAGCATGTAGGGAGGCACATGGTTTAAGGAAAGCAAAATGCAGTTCCTTCCCCACTGCTGACTTTGATAGGCCATGATCATGGATAATGCTGGAGAGACAGATCTGGGCTGTGCTGAGGTTAAAAGAGGGGAAATGAATGTGCACAGCACAGGGAGATACCAAAGGTAACAAGCTACACAAAGTGCCTCAAACACCTGACACACAATTCCACCAGCTTGGGGACTCTGGATTTACCAGGTTTGCTGCCTTAGTGCTGAGAGAAGGGAAAGAGCTGGGGAAAACTCCTGCTGTCAGTACCACGTCCTTCCCATCTGGCACCCTGGCCAACCTCAATAGTTTTGCCTGTCCTTCAATTGAATAACAATTTTAAATGTGGGTTAAGACCTTTAAATGTAGCATTCAGTCTCAGTGCAGCCAAAAGCAAAAGGTAACTATAAAGGTAACTGTTGGTAGGGATTAGAAACAAAAGACTAATAAAAACATCTTTTTTTCCCTGTTTAATTTCTTAGGGTTGGAAACCAACAGTGACTGAGTTTGCCTGTAGACGTTTCTGACATTTTCAAGTGTGGCAGGGCAGACAAGATTTTTATGTCAAGGCTGCTTCTTTAGAAGCTGCTGATGGGAACATTCTGCTCAAGGGAATTTAGAAACCCTGAAGTCATGGAAGCTTCAGAGACCATTTGAGTTAAGGTAGAAAGAATGTTAAAATTCTGTTCACTGCCTGCAAGTGTACACTGATTTATTCCACAAATACATTTCTTTATCTTCCCCAGGCTGAGAAATCAGAAGTTGTGTGTCAGAACTGGATGACTTGTCTCTTTCTTGCTTGATTCTTCTGAACTATTTCCATAGAAACTTTGGCTTCATACAATGGGATGGGTTCATCCAGCTGAGGCCTGAAATGAAACAGTAAAAAGTGCTGGTGAGCACACTCAGACCACCAGAAATATCACAGGACAGACTTTACTTTTTACTGTGTCAACCTCCCTCCTCAAACAAAGTAACAGGTTTGTGGCTTTGCTCCAGCGCACAGAAGAAGGGAGAAGTCCCAGAGCAAACAGGAGTCACAAATAAATGAAAAGAGATCCTTCTTGCAGGGGAAAAAAGGGGTGGTGGGGAGGGTTCTGCTCAGCAGCAGCTGTTATCCTGCTTTAAGGGAAGGGATCTTCCATTCCCACCTTATTATGGGAATCTTCCTACAACTTCCTGAAGCTCTCCTCAGGAGTGTTACTGCTGGCCAGAGTTTTCTACTTCTAATGCTGAATTAAAAAACCCACAAAAATCTCCATATTGTTGGGGAACAGAATATAAGAAAATAAAGATAGTGTAGAGAGTAATCTTACCCCTAAGGAGCTGCAGCTGGGCCAATTATCAAAGATTAGGAACAGGCCTGACTTTACCAGGCCACAGCTGTAACCAGTGAGAAGAAGAGTGCCATAAAAGAGTGGGGTGGCCTTAAGAAGGGAATTGGAGCCAGTGGCTGCTTTGTGAAGAAGAAAGAGGCAGAGCTCTGAGGAACTGCCCGTGAGGAACACCAAGAAGGTGTGGAACTTTTGCAATAAGGAGACAACAGCATAGAACCCCTGCGATAAGATGACAACACCACATCTCTCACCTGAAAATGCCATTTGATAATTTGTCCATGATATCTTCCAGGATGGGTATCCAAGAGGACTGTTAAGGAACAATAATGCTGGAGAGAAATCTCTTTCCAATCACATGTGCTGGTCATAGCCCTGTACTGACACAAACTCAGCAAGTACAAGGGAAAACAAAAATGAACCTCAATTCCAGGCTTTAGATCAGATTTGGGCACTTGTTTCTATATCAGAAACCTCCTTTCCCGAAATAGGATGCAGAAATGAAATATGGAATATTTCAATATGAAAATCTTCAGTATTTCAATATGAAACACAAGTGCAGCCTGCACTAGTACAGCATCAATCAGTCATTAATCAATGACACTTATTGTGCAGAATGAAGAGAACAGATTTTGGGACCAGCTAGCTGCTGTGACAGTTCATACAGACACCTGATAAAAAGCCAAAATGGAGCTGGGAACACAGCACAGGCTGGAAATTCTTGGAGCATGCTGCCACGTGAGGGGTCCATGAGTCAATGACCACCAGCCAAGACTGTATTCAGTCTTTGTATGAAACCCAAACAACAAGGTTCATCCTTCATCTTTAGGGCAATCAGGCTGATACTTGAAGCTCAAGTTCTTTTAGAAAGTGATTAATTTGTGATTTTTTCAGATGACAGTAGTGCCAGATGCTCCAGAATTTCACAAGATACACAAGTTCCTAAAGCCAAAAGTACCCAGACCTTCCAGGGCTGAAAATGTCCTGCCCAGGGAGCTCGGTCCAGCTGCATCAGCCCAAATGTAGGAGATATTCCTTTTCCTGTTCCCAACCAACATTGTCCCTCCATAGATTTCATGTATGAAACAAATCCGTACATCTCCTGTACATAATATTTCTGTACATTGCAAATAAAGGAAAAGTTAGGAAGCCAAAACACTTCCACTCTTGCAGTGAACACGAGTGCATTAAGTTTACAGGTGAGGCATCTAATGCCCAAAAGCACAACAACTAAAAAAAAAAATCCAAAATGGCACTTGCATAAAATAAAAACTTATAGAGTCAAATTTTCAATAATTGGTTCAATAATGAACCAAAACACTGCATTTTTTCCCCAGAATGGGTGTTTTGCAGCCCTGCTTTTACTGAAGCTTGTAGACACATTTTCAAGGCCAGGCTGGACACTGGGCTTGGAGCAGCCTGGGACAGTGGGAGGTGTCCCTGCCATGGCAGGGGTGGCACTGGATGAACTTCAAGGTCCCTTCCAACCCAAATCAGTCTGGGATTCCATGATGAATTTAAAAGGAATGCAGAAAATACCTTAAAACCTGAGTGTCCCTCGTATGTTATCTCCACCTTTCAGCTGGGTTGCAGCACTGAGCAGAGGAGAACCTCTCAGTGGGATTTCCCAGTTGTGTTTTCACTCCTTCCAGCACTGAGAACTCCACAGCACCACCAAAGGATATAGAGATACTTCCCCTGCTGCACGTTGGACAAGTTCCACACCTCCTCGTTCAGGAAGGACACGGTGGCTCCCTTAAGGAACAAGGAGTGGCTGTCTGGAGGATCCAGCTGAAGCAAATTGAAGAAAAATGCTATTTAGTTACATTTTCCCATTTAAAAATAAAGGTTAAATGGTTATTTTATAGAGATGGTTAAAACAAACAAAAAACACCCCTTGCCCACTCTTAAAAGAGAGGAAACTCGTAACACTGACAGGTTGAAGCAACAGTTTAATGTCTGTGTGTCTGTCTGCTGTGGGACAAACTCCTCCCTGCCACAGCACCTTTACCTGCAGGTTCCTTTCGGTGGTTATCCAACGTCCCCCCACCCCAAGCAGGGTGATGATGTCGTGCTTGTGAGGCAGCAGCTGGCACCTGGAAGCTGGCTCATCCTCAGCACTGTACAACCTCACTGCAAGGGACAACAAATTCCTCTGAGCTCAGCAGAAAATGTGCAAAATTCAGTATGAATTTATTTCCACACCTTTCAGTGGAACTCGGAGGTTTTCAGTTGTTTCAGCTAAAAATGGTTGAAAACCCTGAATTGATTATTTCATTTATACCCTGAGTATTTTATATATTTTACTCAGAATAATATTTTATTATAGCTCTGAAGTTACTATTCAGAGCAATATTCTGTTTATATTCATATTCATAATACTATAGTAACAATATAGACTGTAATATAGTATATTACATATATTATACTATATTAGAGTATACTATAATGTATATACTATATACTATATAATATTTATACTATAATATTGTATATTACATATATTATACTATATTATATAGTATATAACATAATAGTATATATTACACATAATATAGTATACTATACATAATATACTATATATAAGATATAATATATATAATATATAGTATATATAACTTAATGCATAATGTATGAAACACCAAATATAACTATAAAATATAGTATATTATACTATATCTATTATAATATATATTGTGTTTTATTATATAATTTAAATTTACAAATTATACATCTAGATACTATTATATATTTAGACACTATTACGTATTTAGATACTATTGTATATATAAATATATATCAGCAGTATCTTATATATCAAATGTACAACAATAATAATAAATATATATAATATCTAATATAGTAACTTCAGAGTCTTCACCTATGAGAGCTGGTTTCCAATAGAGGTTGACAGTGCTGTTAATTAGGGTTAATTTCTGTATTCAAACAAGGCAGCAAACCAATGATGTCACAGCTTTACTCCAGAGCCATTTTTAATTTCCAGTTTCAAAGAGAGGACTATTTCAGCCTCACTTAGCAGCTGCCTGGGAGGTGCTGGCAGGCAGCAGTGGGTGACAGAGGAGCTCTGGGAATGAGGGGATGCCATTGCCAGGTGTTGGAATATTACCAATATAGCTGGACAGGATGTGCCTGAGCTTGTCTGGCCCTTGGTGCTCGACCAAACAGTGGCACTGTGGTGTTTCACCCCACAGACACTTTTGGCTGGCTGGCTGTGTGGTGTTTCACCCCAGGGACACTTTTGGCCAGCTGGGTGTGTGGGGTTTCACCCCAGGGACACTTTTGGCTGGCTGGGTGTGTGGTGTTTCACCCCAGGGACACTTTTGGCTGGCTGGGTGCTGCAGCTGGGCCCTGCAGACAAGTCCAGGCCTGCAGGAGCTCTGGTGGTGCTGGGATGGAGCTTCCCCCCATAACAGGGGCTGCTCCTCAGGTTTCCCTCTGTGGAGAAGCTTTGAGGCGATGGTGAAGGAAAGGAGTCGGTTCTGATGGAGGCTTTGGATCCAGAGCTTTATTCTGGCCCTCAGGCCTCTGAATGCAGCACCAGCTCCAACAGAACTCCCAGAACTGCGTGGTTGCTGCTCCTTTGAACCCCAGGGAGAGGGGCAGGGAAGGGGCAGGGAGGCACCAAGCAGGGACAGGAGGGGAGGGACAAAGGGATAAAGGACACCTGGATGGCCCAATGCCCCCCAGGGGTAGAGGGCATCCTTTGGATCTGCCCAATCACTCGAGGCCCTTCTGGAATGCCAGGACTGACAGACAGTGCTGGGAGGGGAAGGAGAGGTGACTGACACACCCGGCAGGGAATTATCAGGGAATTATAAAGCCTGAAATCGCAAGCCAACAGCCAGGGAGGCAGCAGCGCTCCCGTACCTCCGGCATCCAGCACGGTGTCCACGCCCAGCCCGCCCGTCTCCTCCAGGCAGCTCTCGGCCACGTCAATCTTGCCGTGCGACACATCGATCACCCGGGCTGCCAGAGCAGGACAGCAGCAAAAACCACTTCAGACCCAGGGAAAAGGAGTTCAGGTGCTCAAAGCTGAGAGCTCAGATCCCGAGCAGCACACGCAGTTTCTGCTCTCTGCAGGTACCACAAACGGGTTTGCAGCTACACCCAAAAAGCCTGGCACATCTTTTTTTTCATTTTCAACACAGTGCAACATCAACACCAAACAGTATGAATGCAGAGTTAATTCATTAGTCTGTTGGCCCAAAAGGATAAAATGTGGCAAATCCTTCTCTAAGTTCATTTTTTGCTATTCTTGTCCAAGTCCTGGCTCTCTGGGTCTTTAATTAAATGTTTAGATGAAAGAATTTACATCTGCTCTTGAAATATTGCTGAACTGAAAGCCACCAACACATTTTCCTGTCATGTATCTATGATGCCCTCTTTATAGCTGGTTATAAAGACAAACCACAGAATCAGGAATGAGACAATCCTGGAATGGTTTGGGTGGTTGGGAGGGACCTCAGGGACCCCATCCCACCCCTGCCATGGCAGGGACACCTCCCAGTGTCCCCAGTGCCCAGCCTGGCCTTGGGCACTGCCAGGGATGCAGGGGCAGCCCCAGCTGCTCTGGGCACCCTGTGCCAGGGCCTGCCCACCCTGCCAGGGAACAATTCCTCATGGCCAAGATCCCACCCAGCCCTGCTCTCTTTCAGGTAAAAGCCATTTTTAATATTATGGCAATAACACAGAGAAGGAGCAGCCACAGGTTTGTTTCATCATTATGAAGTAGAACAAACATTTAGAAACTAAACAGGGCAAGGACTTCAGAGCAAAATGAGAACTGAAAGGACATCAAACAAATGTGGAGCCTGAGCTCAGATCTGCACTCACCCACCAAAGGCTGCCGGACTCCTGCAGTGGGATCCCAGCAGCAGGGACGGGAGGAAGGAGGGAGGGAAGAAAAATGCAAGGAGCTGGTCATTAAGGATATTAACAAGTCATCAATAAATGCCTTGGGTTTGGTTCTTTTTGAGCCTTCAAACCCCCAATCTAATCACAGATGCATTCAAATCCCAAGTAATTTCCTCTTTTCTTTTCACTGAAGTCAAATGATTTCACTGTCAAAATTTACTACAGATGGGATAATAATTAATTAAATATCCACATTCCCCCTATGCAAACAAACCCCCATAATATCCTTTTCTTCTTAGTTTCCTTCAGTCAAGAAGTTAAAAGGTTTTCCTTATCAGGGCAATTTGATATGGTATTATTTCTGCAAATAATTTCACTTTTTGAAAATAATTCTGGTTTCATAGATCCAAAGCCTGGCAATCAAAAAGAAAAGGACAGAGTTCCACCATTGTATTTTCTGATTTCTGTATAGCAAAAATGTCCAGTTTTGTTCCTTAATTCAGTACAATAGTTCAAACAGTACTTATCAAAATCCTCGTCAACTTCCTTCCTAAAAAATGCTGGGAAAATTTCTCACCATTGTGGAAAAGGCCAAGCAACAAACTGTAATATAACTTTCCATAATCCTTTGTCACTTATGTATTTCTCACAAAATACTGGTAAATGAGTTCAGTTTCTTCTGCTGTGCCTTGCACAGCTTCCAAAGTAAGATTTTTCTGACTGGCAACACTTCAGTTTCTCTTCTCCTCCACTGCTGGAGGCACAGAAACACCAGGATTCCACAGCCTTCCCCAGAGTTTGCTCTGGGAGGTTCTAAGCAGAGGCATCCCCTGAGAGCTCAGTGCTGGTGGCACAAAATAAAACCTCCCAAAGCCAACTGAAAGAAAAGCAGGAGGAAATATCTGTGTATGTGCAGATACTTTCCCTTGGCTTCTCTAACAGAAACTCATCCCATTGCTTATGGAATAATCTGTCTCCACCTCAAACACAGGCATTAAAATGTCACATTTTGTTAAAATCCCCTCCTTCATTCTATTATAACTTTTACTCCAGGGATTACTAAAGACAAAAAAAAGCCCCATTCTGTTGGTCTAAATACAAATCCTGAAACAGTACCAGAACTTCTACTTCAGGCACTGGAATCACATTAATTAACAAACAAATCAGAAAGTCTGAACACTTTTAAAAGCTTTTTCCTTTTGCACTTGAACTGTTTCTCTCTTCAATGCTGTACTCAGGTTCTATTTCTTTATTTGAAATAAAGTTGCAGTTATCATTTTTCCCCCTCAGCCATTCCAGGAAGCAGCTTGGTATGCTAAACAATGATAACACAAACTGCTGCTCCCTGAAAACTGCCCAAAACTAACCAAAAACCCACTGAACAAGCACAAAACTGAAAATCCTCCACCCACACACACAAGAAGCCAATTAGAGCTTGGATTATTTATGCTCTATTTGACATTAACATTCAAAAACCTTAAAAATGCTGTAAAAAGTTCTCAGGACTGTGAGAATAAAATTGCCAAATCCTTTCCTAGCTCATGACTTTTTCATATGATTAGCAAAATACACCCATAAAATGTTACAAAAGGAAGTTTTAGGTTTTCAGTATTTCCTCTTTGGCCCTGTAACAGCTGGTGCAACAAGGCTCTGCACAGCAACAGCATTCCCAAAAATCTTCCAGTTCTGATGTCTGTCATGACTGCTAGTGCAGTAAAATATGGAAACACAGAGACAGAAAAAAAGGCTGCTGAAACCAAGAAAAAATAGGGGGTTTTGGGGTCAAATTGCAAAAAAAAAAAACCAAACAAACAAACCAGTGTTGCTCTCCAGCTCCAGAGAAATGAGTCTGGCAGGTGCTGCAGTGGCAGCCCTGGGCTGCTGTGGTGCCTGCAGCTGTAACCACACAGATGGGGCTGCACAAGGCTCCCCCAAAGGCATCTTCCAGTTCTGTAGCTCCAGTGAATGCCAACAAAAACCATACTCTGAAAAAGGAACCTGGCAATCACACTGCAGCACTTGGTATTTGCAGGAGGACGTAGCAGGCACCAGTTTTAACCTTTTGCTGCAGTCCAGCCAGACTGACAAGCCATCCTTTATTTTCAAAATGTCAGAATAAAGGAATATTCCACTTTCCTCCACAAAACACCACCAAAATTTTGATCAGAAAAGATTCTTACACAGAGTATCTTCTCATAGGGAAAAAACCCTAAACTTGAAGTATGAAAGAGAAGTCAGGGAAGAATGCAAGTGTTGTGTGTGAGGCAGCTCCTTTGGAAAGCAGGAGAATGCAGAGCCTGTGCATGTCCAGCTGCAGCTGACACGGACAGAGCCCTGGCAGGAGCAATCTGAGGTGCTGGGTGTCAGGTGTGTGAGCTCTGGCACACGCTGGGGAGTGGTGAGTCAGCAATCCTTCCTTGCACAGCAATCACATGGAAAGATTTCCTCAGCACCTGGGCCAAAAGCCAGCACTCAGCACCACTGGGAAGTACTGCCAGCCATTACCACTGAAATGGAGAATTCAAATGCCATTAAGTACACCTAAGCCAGAAATTAAACACCTGTGGAGCACAGGACAAACCTGAAAACTGTTTAATTACACTATTTATCAATTTGTGTTTAATTTTATAGGGGTAAGTCTCTAGACCTGACAGAAAGAAATATTTTGAGACATTCTTTAGGCCAAACTTCAGCACTGAAGGATAAAACTCACCCCCAGCAGGCCTGAGCCTCTCCAGGTACTGCTTGTCCTCCAGGCTGTGGGCAGTGGAGATAACTTTGGCCCCTCTGTGTTGGGCCAGCTGAATTGCAATGGTACCAAATGGCTGAGGGGGGAAAAGCAGGGTCATTGATTAATTTATTCATTCATTTATTTACACCAACAATTTGAGGTTGTTTATTAAAATTATATTGTAAAGGCCAGTCAGGAGAATACCCAGAAATTAACTTACTCCTGCAAAAACCCCACAGCTGAACCAAGAATTGAATATTCACAGATCTGCTTCTGTCCTAAGTGAGGCCAAAACAACTCTTCAGTGACTGGGAAGCTCTGAATGAACTTTTGGTCAGTAACTGGTTCTTGTCATCAATAGAATAGCTCAGATTCTACTTTAATTACCACAGCCACCTTCACTGCAGCTAGAAGTCAGAGCTCGAAGGGAAAAAAGCTCCAAGGAAAAGGCCCCAGCCACATTTACATTACAGAACCTTGGCTGAGGGGATCCCACATCTTCATTAGCACCAAGAACTGCAGGGATGCAAATCAAATTATTTATATCCAAGAAAAAGTAAAAAGCAGAGCTGGGAGAGGACTGAAAAAGAAGGTATTTTCCTGCAGTTATCCCTGAGGACTCAGGGCAAAACTGTGTCAGTGCAGGACACCAGAACACCCTCCCTGTGTGCACCCCCCACTCCAGGCAGGACAATAGCCCTGGGGAGCCCAGGGACAGCCCTTCCTGCAAAGCCAGGAAAGGAAGGGCACTGCCAGCACCCCAGGAACGCAGGGGATGTGTGCAGGGGGCTGTGTGACCCCAGGTACCCACACTTGCTCCATCCAGGACGAGGACACTGGTGCCAGGGGACACCGGGGCCAGGTAGTGCAGGGCCGTGTACGCGCGGAGCCCGTCCCGGAGCGTCCCCGCAGCCTCTGCCCAGCACAGCTTCTGGGGCTTGTGAGCTGAGGGACAGACACAAACACACCTCAGCAGCTCCCAGGGGATCCCCTGGAGTGCCCTAGAGCTGTCTGCTCACTGGGAGCAGCAGGCAGGCAAGGACAGAGTCAGTTCTGGGGGTGCTCATTAGCTGAGGGTTTATTGGGGCTCCCACCCCTGGGAGCAGCGTGGTTCCTGAGGGAGAAGGGGGAAAAGGGGAGAGGGGGAGAGCCTGGGGAGAGAAAGGGCCAAGAGAGAGCAAAGAGCTAAGACAAGCTCTCCTTGCTCACACAGTTTAACAGGGAGATTCAAGGTGGGCACAGAATCAGACTGGGGCCCATGGGGTTACAGATACCTGATACTGCAGGGGAGGAACACATGGAATAAACTGTACATGACATTTTCAAAGGGTGAACAGAGCAAACCATTTAACTAAAATGTAACACCACACACACCAACAAACACAGCAAAGAGATGGTAAAAACCCCAGCAAAACCCCTGGGCTTATTTAGCAAAAGTTGTCACAGTGAGTCAGGAAGGCTCCCCCTGCAAACAGGTCACCAGCCCTGGCTCCTGTTTCCTCTCCTATTAAGAAGCCATGGAGAGGATATTTTGCCATATTTTACACAATTAAATTAGGGATTCATCTTTGATATAACCAAGTTTAAGGGAGCCACCTCATAACTACTCAGAAATTCATGGTAGTCACAGCAAACACAACCCAAACTTAGATTTTTAGAATCAGGGAGGTTTGGGTTGGAAGGACCTCAAAGCCCATCCAGTGCCATGGCAGGGACACCTTCCACTGTCCCAGGCTGCTCCAAGCCCTGTCCAACCTGGCCCTGGACACTTCCAGGGATGGGGAAGTCACAGTTTCTTTGGGAAGAGCAAATTTTGAGCAAAAGAATAGCTTGGTCAAGGTAACAAACTGCTGGAAGAAGAGCAGAGACTCCCACATTTAGTATCCTACTCATTAAAGTAATCTAGGCCCAGAAAGGGAAAACTGGAAGCTCACAATAATTGAAAACAACGTTTCAATACCAGGCTTTCCCTGACCCTCATCCCTGAAAATTCCAGTCTCCATTTCCAGTCTCCTTGCTTCACCCCATCTGTTAGTCTGGTCCCAGGTGATATTCCTGGACTGAGTCAAAGGGAAGAAAAAAGCAAGTTTCTCCTCATTAAATTTTTTGACAGGTTAGGAAAAAATATAACAACAATGAAGCAACAGACAGGAAGTTAGAAGGGAAATAAAAGGAAAAGGACAAAACCAGGGTAAGCTTGTGTGGTTTAGGCCATCATGAACTGTGAAATGGTGACAGCAAAGAAAAAGCCCTTGAGTTTTCAAACTTTTGTGACTTGGTGGGGCAACTGTAATTTTGGAATGTTGGAATGAAAGGAGTGTGCCCAGAGCTCCAAGGTAATGGGGTCCCTTTTAGAAAAGCTAAAACAAAGTCTACAGTAAAAATTATTATTAGCAAAATGTATAATCTACAAACCCAAATAATGCTCATGAACCAGGATAACTTCACAGACACCAGACTCCTCGGAATCCAGGGGCAGAATTCCTGAAAAAAACAGGAACACAGACCTTGAATTTCACACAAGCAATCATTCCAACCAAAGCATTCTCCCAAGGAACTCCCTGCTCCTGTTTGGGTTCAGTCCCCTCTTGGCAGGTTTAGGACAGGTCAGAGACCTTGGCCAGGTCCCAATCTGAGGAGTCCCTGGGCACAAGGAAGTTCCAGGGGTGCTTCTACAGCATTTTGGGATTGAGGGAGAAAGGATGGGGACACCACAGAGTGCTGGCTGGTGCTGGCAGCTGTCATTTTTGTCTGGTGATGTCTGAGCTCATTCCACACTCTGAGTGCTCCCCTTCCACTGCAGGCCATGGATCACAGAGCAGGGATCTGAGGCATGGAGCAGCCTCCTCTCCCTCTCCCTCTCCCATCCCAATTCCTGACCCACCAAGGGCACAGGAAGAAGCAGAGGATGAACACACAGGAATGTCAAGTGTTAAAAAGCAGGAATAAGAAAGAGGAGGTGCAGGAAAAACAAAACTACCCAGGGAAGGCAGAGAAAGCAAAAGCAGAGTAGGCAGAAAAGCCCCTCCATCCTGGTTATAACTGAGCTTTTCACCTTCACTGGCCACAGAACTCTCCTGAACAGGAGGTTCTGGCTCCATCTCCTGAATTAACATCCCCTCTATTCCAGGGAAAACCATTCTTTTCTGCCCTCTCCCCCCCAAATCTCACACTCCATTTAGACCAAAGGGCTTTGCTTTGCAAATTTGCCTGCTGTGTGCAGTCTTTCCCAGCTGCCATTAAAAATGTGCTTGTGCCCACCTGGAGCTGTCCCCAGGGTTTCTCCAGGGAGCTGCCCAGAGCAGTTCCTGTGCCATGAGGGAATGATGCAGGAAGGACCACAATGCCCAAACACACATCTCCCCCATCCCCTCCACTCTGTCCTGCTTTCAGAACTTCAGTCATCCTCTAATCCTTTCATCCAGCACACAAAACATAAACATGTGGGACAGAATGCTCTAAGAAATAACCCCTCTCTCCTAAGGCATCACTCACAATTTGGTGGCTAACACAACATCATATTTCAAATCCTAAGGGAACACTCTTAGAACAGAATTCCCATTTATAAGTTTATTCCTGTGACAGCAGTTTAATTTTGAAAATACATGGTCTATTTAGCCTTACCAATTATTCTAAGCTCAGTCATTCATTATAAAAAGATGGCTGTTGGTGTCAGTTGAGGCAAACAGGCATTAACTTACCCACCACTTCATCATCTGGCTGGAAAAAGGTCACCTTGCTTCCAACTCACCATGGAGAGGTGAAAAGGAGGGAAGAAAGGAGGAAGAGAAATATTTAGAGCAGGAATGGGATATGCAATTGGAAGCACTGGTTATCACTAGCTCACAAAACTAAAGATACACGTTTATTGTGAAAAAACATAATTCTGTTGATTACAATTCTTGATTGACTCTTGATGCCAAGCCCAAATGGTGAATTCCCAGACTTTGGCACAAGGAGCTCCCTGCAGGAACACACAGGGGGTGTCTGAGAGCTGGGCTGGACTCTGCACCCCAGGGCAGTGGTACCAGCACTGGGAGAGCAGCCAAGGAAGCCAAGAGCTCCTGCTCCTGAGTGCTCTACAGCCACAGAGAGTTCTGGGCTCTGAGGGGAACCCCTGCTCCCTCCCTCCCTCCCTCCCTCCCTGGGCACTGACACCCACTCACCTTCCAGCACAACTCCTGAAATTTCTCTCCCAACAGGCACAAGTTCCTTCTTCAGTTTGATTTCTGCCAGGAGCTAAATGAAAACAATGCTGGCAGCATTCTTGCTAAAGCTCTGCATTTATAAATGAATTACCATCTTACAGTGTTGGATCACCACAGGAAGCTTGGGCCATTACCAAAATGTTATCCAGGGCAAGGAAGTGCACACGTTCTTCAGTATTAAACCATGGCACTGAATTCTGCATTTAAATTTAGAAACATTAAATAATAAAAGCAGGGACTTACTACCAGCCAAGCCAACCTGGGACTTAGATGAAGATAAAAGGGATTTACTGCAAGAGATCTCCCAGCTGACAACTGATCTGTCTCCACGAATTAGGAATCAAATTCCAGATGCTTTTTAATCAGAGCTGTGCAAGAAGCCCAGCCCAGTCCTGTGCCTGTGGAAACCTTCCCTGAGGACCTCCCTGATGGGGAGACCCCTACAAATTCTGTGCCCCCTGCCAGCAGCAAAGGCCATGGAACACACGGGGTCTGACTATTCCCTGGAGAATCACAGCCTGAGCTTGTGCCAGCCACCAGCCAAGGCCATGGAACCACAGACACCCCCAGCAAAACAACACCCAGCAAATACCTTTGTGTCCACGCAGCTGAGAGCACAGGCTCTGACCTGCACCTTCACCTCGTGGTCCCTGCTGGGAGGAAGGTTCTCCTAGGACAGAGTGACAGGTCCTTGTTACACACTGCATGCGCCCCCAGGAGCTTCTCCAGCTCCTGAAAGCACTTCTCCACTTCTTGGGTTGTTTTGTGGGGAGAGCAGGCAGGTTTTCTCAATGAAAAGGGGTTTACAACATCATTTTGAGTTTTATTATTATTATTATTAGCATTATACTATTATTGCAAACTGGTATATTACTATACTATATTATATTATTATATTGTATTATATTATGTTATATTATATTACATTACATTATAGTATATTATATATCATTTATATTATATATTATATATATACTATATATTACATAGCATATAATATATATTACTATACTATATTTCTATATTACATTGCCATATTTTGATATTATTATTGCAAATTGACCACTAGACCTTACTAAACCTCATCAGCCACTGACATTATTTATCTGTTGAGGTTTTTTTTCACTTTATCTGAGGCACAAATCCTGACAGACCCACTGAGGTCAACATTCAAGTCCAAAATGAAGTCCAAATGTTGTCAAAGGAACAACCCCAGTAAGAAGTGGTGTTCTCACCCCAAACCTGATAGATTCCTCATCTCCATTTCTACTTGTTCAGGGACTAGATAATTCAGCCAGGAAATGTAGACCCAGGGTTTATTTTTCCTGCCTGCAAAGCTTGTTTGTAAAGTCTGGACACCAAAACTGCAGAGCAGTGGTCTTTTAAGTGCTGCCTTGATAACAAAATGCACCTCCCCTCCCCTCCCCTCCTTCCCCTGCCTGGGTGAGCAAGGCTCCCACCAGTCCTTCCTCAAGCCTGTGCAAGATTTCTATGCCTCAGTTCCCCCATGGTGGCACCCAGCCAAAGTCTCCTGTCCCACTGCCTGAGGGACAGAGCAGTTCTGAAGGGAACTCACTCTTTCCTGGAACACAAATGTCATTTCCTCTCCAAGAGAATTCTGCTGAGCATACAGGGCCTTCATAGTGACCTGAAAAACACAGCAACCAAACTGTGACAGCTGCAGTGGCTGAGGGCAACCAAGGCACTAAAGCCCTGCTAAATTAAATTAAATTAAATTACAATTACAATTAAATTAAACTATTCTATAAGAAATGCAGCCACTGTTTGCAGGCAATTTGAGTCTTTGTGATACAGAAACTCTAAACCAGATCAACAGGTTTAGATGTCCATAACAGAGAAAATCCTCAGGACAGAGGATCACAGAATCCCAGACAGGTTTGAGTTGGGAGGGACCTCAAAGCCCACCCAGTGCCACCCCTGCCATGGCAGGGACACCTCCCACTGTCCCCAGTGTCCAGCCTGGCCTTAGGCACTGCCAGGGATGCAGGGGCAGCCCCAGCCCCAGCCCACCAACCCAGGTGGGCACCCTGTGCCAGGGCCTGCCCACCCTGCCAGGGAACAATTCCTCATTGCCAAGATCCCACCCAGCCCTGCCCTCTGGCACTGGCAGCCATTCCCTGGGTGCTGTCCCTGCAGGCCTTGTCCCCAGTCCCTCTGCAGCTCTCCGGGCACAGCAGAGCAGGCCCTGCAGCACCCAGGATTTATTGGGGAGCAGTGCAGGGGCTCTTTGCCACCCAGCCACACGACTCACACCGGGGCACTGCACAGGGAACACAGGGAACTGCTGTGCAGGAATACAGGAAAACTTACAGGAGACTTCACCCAAAATCACCACTTGGCTTTCCCAGCTCCTCTCCTACTTGGCCTCTCCTCTCCCGTGTGGTCCTCAACGAACCTTTAGAAGGGAAAAAACACAAACAAAAACACAAACGAACCTTTAGAAAGGGAAAAAACACAAACAACCAAACAGTAAAATTGAGTTAACAAGGAAAAGGGAAAGAAGGGGCTAGAGAAAGGAAAAAACAACCAACCAACCAAACAGTAAAATTGAGTTAACAAGGAAAAAGGAAAGCAGAGGGTAGAGAGGCAGGAAATCATGGCACCATTGCTGCAGCTCTAACCCCTGAGGGAGCACCCGAGATCCCCGCACGTCGGGCCCGCCCCGCCACCCCCGGGGAGCGACCCCGGCCCGCACCGAGAGGCTCCGGCAGCCCCGGGGAGCCCTCAGGGGCTCCGAGCGGACCCGGCCCGCACCGAGAGGCTCCGACGGCCCCGGGCCGGCCCTCAGCGGCTCCGCGGGACTCCCGAGCGCCGCGACGCGCCCGCGGTTGCCATGACACTCCCTCACTTCCGCCTCGCCCTCAGGCACCGCCCCCCGCCCTGCAACCAATCATAGAGTCTGGCAGCACCCTGAGCGCTTGCGATTGGTCGCAGTGGCCGCCATTCATCGTGAAAGCCGAGGTGGGATTGGTCCCTGCGGATGTCACTCATTCAATGAGGTGAGGAGGGAGGCTACGGCGCCCGGTGGGACACCGCCGGGGGGAGAGCGGAGACGCCGCCTTCGATTGCCCCATGAGTTAACTCCGTATGCACAGCACAGGCCCCGCACCGCTCCCTGAGCGCTGGCCCCTCAGCCTGGCACAGCCGAGATTGGTCGGGGAGGCGGGATCCTGCCGCTGTCCCGGTCTCTGATTGGTACAACGTCCTGCTAGTCACGCGGGGGGCGGGCGGAGGTCGCGCGTCAGAGTGGGGCTGTCTGAGCTCTGATTGGTCGAAGGATGTGGGTCTCCGCCCCTTTCTCGAGTTCTGATTGGTGGTACTCCCTGTCCGTCACGTGGGGGCCGCGGCCGCGCGTCAGTACGGCGGCCGCGAGGGGCTCCTCCCCCCTCCCCTCAGACGGGGCGAGGGCGGCGATGGCGCGTCCGGCGGAGGCGGCTGCGGGCGCCGCTCCGGCCCCTCCGGCCCCTCGGTGCCCTGGCCGCGGCCGGGGCTGTGAGTAGGGCCCGCACAGACATGAGGTACGGCCCGGCGGGACGGGGCCAGCGGGGGGCGCGGGCTGCGAGCGGCGGCGGTTCAGCCCAGGCCGGCGGGGGGGCAGCGCCGCCTCAGCCCCTCACGGTGCCCGGGCGTGTCGCGGTGCCAGGGCCGGCTCCTCGCCTCCCGGGGCGGGCGGTGAGCGATGCTGCGCCCCTCGCTGGGGCCGGCTGCCTGCCGCGGTTCCCGTACCGTGTGGCGGTGCCGCCGCGGCCATCCCTGCGCTGGGATCACCTTGGTCCCGCTGCCTCCGGCCGCCGCTGCCCGCGCCCGCTGCGCCCTGAGCCGGGGAGGGAGGCGAGCCCTGAGCCGGGAATGCCATTCCCTTGGGAGTGCTGTCCCTTAGGGCTCGGCAAAGGGCGCCGCGGAACGGGGCGATCAATGTGGGAATGTTGTCGGGGCGTCAGGAAAGGAAGCCGGTCCCGTGGATGGGGCTGTGTCCCTGTGTGTGCCTCGGCTGAGCAGGGAGGGTTGTGGATGATATTCCCTGTGGATATCTTTTGTTCTGGTTCAGCTGCTCCTTTATTTGGGGTGAAATATGGGGTTTGCTTGTGGAAAACAGTATTTTCTGTGAATTCCAGCCCCATTAAGGGAAAACTCTTCTATGGTTCATCGGAGAGTATTGTTTAGTAAATAATTCCAGTTAGTGAAGCAACCGGCATTCCGGGTGGGATGGTGTGGCCCTCATTAAAACAAGAAACACTCTGTCCTCTATCTCTTCCCACTGTCCAGCTCCAAAGTGCTTTTTGTCTGGAACTTATATGGCAATAGATATTTAAGGCAATACCTTAAAATATCCTACCTGTGGATATAAACTGAATATATATTGGAGTCATGCTCTGAATGGATGCATTTTCTTAAATCAAAAAGCCAAACTGTATTTTGGGTGTTGATGACTCTGGAGAGTGTTACTTCACAACATCTTTCCTTCTTTCTTTTACCTTTTCTTGTAGTCACCTGTAACTTCCCTTGCTGGGTATGACCTGGTGATGTTCTCACCCAGGAAACTTCCTTAGGAACCGAGGAGCAGCTGGGGCTGGGTCAGGAGGAATTTAGGTTGGATTTTAGGGCAAGGTTGTTGCCCAGAGGGTGCTGGCACTGCCCAGGCTGCCCAGGGAATGGGCACGGCCCCGAGGCTGCCACAGCTCCAGGAGCCTTTGGCCAGCGCTGCCAGGGATGCCCAGGCTGGGCTTGCTGGGCTCTGGGTAGGGCAGGGCTGGCACTGGGGGATCCCTGGGGGTCCCTCCAGCTCAGGCCATTCCATGCTCCTGTGATAGTTTATACCAGGGAATCGATCCCAAATTCTCCTCTCACTGTTAAAGCTTTCCCCCAGAGCCCTGTGGGAGGTGTGGGAGGAGAAGCCTTGCCTGGCTCTGTGTGCCCATGCCCAGCTGCAGCAGGGGGTACCCGCCTGTGGATGTGAGCAGGTGCCACAGGTAGAGAAACCAGCTGCATTTTCTGTTCCTCAGAGCTCAGGGCTGTGAATCCCAGCAGGCTGAGGCAGCTCAGGCTGTGTGCCCGGCCCCGCAGAGCCCTCCCTGGCAGTGCCAGCCTGCCAGGCTCTGCTCAGCCCTGGAGTGCCCTCCCTGCCAGCCTGCCAGGCTCTGCTCAGCCCTGGAGTGCCCTCCCTGGCAGTGCCAGCCTGCCAGGCTCTGCTCAGCCCTGGAGTGCCCTCCCTGGCAGTGCCAGCCTGCCAGGCTCTGCTCAGCCCTGCAGAGCCCTCCCTGGCAGTGCCAGCCTGCCAGGCTCTGCTCAGCCCTGCAGAGCCCTCCCTGCCAGCCTGCCAGGCTCTGCTCAGCCCTGGAGTGCCCTCCCTGGCAGTGCCAGGCTCTGCTCAGCCCTGAGGTGCCCTCCCTGGCAGTGCCACCCTGCCAGGGGTCGTGTTTCGTGCCCAGAGCGTTTGTGAGCAGTTTCTGCAGTGTCTGAGGCTCAGGCTTGCCCAGAGCTGAGTGGGCTGCACGCTGCACTTGCTGTCCCACAAACCACACTCTGTTCTTTCAGCTCCTGTGGTCCCTCTCTGGTGTCCCACTGCCTTGCACTCCACATAAGGTCCTTTGCAGAGTATTTGCTGGGTTTGCCTGAGAATTTTCCATTCTGTTCTGGTTCCTAGATGAAGGAAGGATTGGGGTCTCAGAGCCATGACCTGCAGTGCCTGTTCCCTCCCTCGCTGCTGTTTGGTGGCCTTTCCTTAATGCCTCTAATCCTGCAATTAGGATAGATTTGGAGTCAGGCAAGAATGTGAATCTAGCAGTGAAATGGTTCTGAATCATGACGTTGGGCAGCCTTTTATGGCCTGTCTTTGTACTGGAACCAGGGATTGGAATTTCAGCTTTTAGGAGGATAACACCAGGGAAAAGAGGAATAGAGGAATAAAGGGAAAAAAGTTAAGGAAAATACAGGCAATGGGTTGAGGAATGGGGAGATCAGTGGGGTGGAAGTTTTCTGTAAGAAACCCTTCCCTGGCAGGGTGGGCAGTGCCCAGAGCAGCTGGGGCTGCCCCTGCATCCCTGGCAGTGCCCAAGGCCAGGCTGGACACTGGGGACAGTGGGAGGTGTCCCTGCCATGGCAGGGGTGGCACTGGGTGGGATTTAGGATCCCTCCCAGCCCAAACCAGTTGTGATTCTGTGATCAGGAGTTCCCAGCCACGGACATTTCCCCGTGCTGTGTGCAGTGGCAGAGCAGGGTGAGCCAGCAGCAGGTTGCTTTGGGGGGCTCCTCTTTGGGGTGGGTCACAGTTGTCCTGCTCAGAACCCAAGAGCTGTGAGGGCTTTGGTTTCTTTTTCCCATGGAACAGGCAGGGGCTGCCTCAGCTGCTGTGTGTGCTGGCAGCTTGGAGCGCTCGCTGCTCTTGTGTTGGACACAGCTGCTGAACTTGGGCTGCCCCCTCCACGGCAACTTGGTTTTGTTTTTACTTGCCAAGCATGAAATTGGGGGGGGTGGTGGACAATCAGAAATGGGCTCTAGGCTGAGAGCTGCTGATGAATGACTTGTGCACAGGAAAGCTCAGTGAGAGGTGCTGAAACCTCTGTGGGATCTGTGGCACAAGCAGTTAGCCTCTTTGGAAAGTGCACTCGGTAGAATTGAACAAGAATGTACTCGACTGCACTGGTTATTTTTGGCTGGCCTTGCCTCTCTGGGGTTTGCATTGCAGGGGGAAGGATTTGGAGCAGTGTTTGCCAGGCCCTCATCCACAACCACCAACTGTGAGGTTTGGGAGGGCACCACTGGAGGTGGTGCTGGACCCACCTGTCTGGAATGAATCTCTCTGGAGCGAGCTCTGGGTGTGGCAGGGCTGGAGGTGCTCGGGTTCTGACAGACAAATTCCAGCTCTAGCTGCAGGAAAGCACTAATTACTGATAGTAATTAGAAACTAATCTCTCCTGTGTGAGCAGGGCATTGTCTCGCCCTCCAGAGGATCAGCTTCTTGACCAGAATAGAAACTTTCTATTTAATAGAAATTAAATAATTTTGAGTGGGAAGGAGTGAAGAGAGGTATCCTTGGGCATTCTCAGGAAGACAAGTTATTCTGGTTTTGATGCAAAGGGTGCATTTTTACAGCATTACCTTCACTGCAGTCAGTGAAAACACAGAAAACTTGACTGACACAGTGCATCCATGGTTTGGTTTTCTCTTATCAAACTTGCATCTGTTGGATATTATATTTTACTTTTTCATGTGCTGTTTTTAAAGTAATTGAATTAATTAGTGTTAGTGTCCAAATGGACATCTTTTCTCTGTGAACTCTGCTTTTCTACAAGTTGTGTGATAAAATATGAGTCTGGAATTGTGAAAAAATCACAATTTCAGAGTATCTGAAACCTCTGTCTGTGCTGTGTTTCTCTTCAGCAGCATTTCCAGTC